TCGAAAAAAAAAAGTTATATTCGCTACTTTCAACAAGGGTACCAGTATAGTTAACGTTGGTCCATTTGAAGATTTACAAGGTCAATTTACGGGTACTCGGGTAATTACTATACACTATATAATATACTTTAGATTATATATATATTTTATTTATATATAGATTATATATATATATTTTTTATATATTTTATATATTTTTTATTTATATATAGATTATATATAAATATTATAGACATCGTACGGGATTAATTTTTTACACAAGTATTATTATATTATTATATTTCATTTCATATGCGTTGATATATGTTTATTTTGTTAGTACCATCGATATCGTTCACCATTCGAACATACAATAATTCGTGTCATGAAAACATATTTGTACATTCATTCACTTTTTCCTCTTTTTTTTTCAGCAATTTAGTAGTTTGTAAAAATGATCGAAAAGTTATATTCGCTATTTTCAACAAGAGAACCAATATAGTTAACGTTGGTCCATTTGAAGATTTACAAGATCAATTTACCGCTCGAGTAATTGTGAATTGAACAAACCTCTCCCTCTGTCTCATATTCAATCAATTAACTTCGTTTTTAAGATATCGTACGAAATTATACTATATAATATACTTTAGATTATGTATAAATATTATAGACATCGTACGGGATTAATTTTTGACGTAAGTGTTATTATATTATTATTGCATAAGTATAGTATTTGACATAAGTATTATTATATTATTAAGACATCTCCCTCTGTCTCATATTGCATCACGATTAACTTTGTTTTGAAAATATATTTTACGAAGTTATACGTTATAGATGAATCGTGAAGTGAATTATACATTAATAACGAAGTTATATACGTTGTACGTTAATTTTGTGACGAAAAGTAGAATCATATTACGCCAGTAGTTCACTATTTTCATTTTCACACTGGTTGATATAATAAAAGCCAAAAGTTTCATTTTTTTTTTTTTTTTTTGGTAACAAAATATCAGAATATAAGAAAACACTAATTTTATTGACCTTGAATTGAATTTGAAAATATGATTTTTTCATTTTACGTTTTTGTAAGAAAGAGATACACAATGGGAAAAAAAAAGAAAACTATGGATTTATTTCAGTAGGAAGTGATTTTTGGTCCACCCTGTATATATTCATTTTCTTACTCCAATCGATCGAATCCATTTGTACGAATATCAATATCCTTGTGCCCCTCCTATTTCCTCTTTACTTTGCATAATTCCGAAATACATAATCGTGAACGTATTGTAATTGAGAAGGAAGGTGAACTCGAATTCTTTTATCTTGAGATTCTTTTATTGACGTTTTATCTTGCCCTCGGGACATACCTTCTTCGTGACATTTTCAATTTTTCTCGAAGAATATCTCTCTCTCTCTCTATATATATATATATATATATGTATATATACTTTTCAAAGTATAATTCCGATTTCTGAGATTTCAGCGTCTCGCATTCGCCCGGCGTTGAACTTGTTAAAGTTGAACGCCTCGACTGAATTCGCGTCGTGCTTCTTTCGCACGAGCCATAATCGTGCGTGATAAATACCACGCTGGCTCGATTCCCCCAGTTTCAAATTGGACCAATTAGATACTATTAAGTTGTTTCGGGAAGTTCGTGCCGTGCTTGACACTCGAGGGCTCGCACTCTGCTTTCGCGCTCGATGGATGTAGAAATGAAAGAAAAGGGGGGAGGGAG